GTGTCCTCTATTCCCTGCTGACCCCCTCCCCCCTGATGAGTTTGTCGGCAGCCACAGGATAGCCTCTCAGTCTTCTCTTGTGGAGGCTGAAGAGATTCAGGTCCCTCAGTCTGTCTTCATAGGATCTTACCTGCAGGCCCTCAGCCATATGAGTAGCCCTCCTCTGAACCCTCTCAGGTTGTCCACATCCCTTTTGAAGTGCAGTACCCAAAAGTGGATGCAGTACTCCATCTGCAGTCTCACCAATGCTGCGTAGAGGGGAATTATGACTTCCCTTGACTTGCCTGTGATACACCAAAGAGTGTGGTTAGCTTTGCTTATTACCTTGTCATAATGGCAACTCATGTTCATTTTTGCATCAACCTAGACTCTGAGATTTCTTTCCACTGTTGTGGTACTCAGAATAGTACCCCCCAGTCTATAGGTGTGCTGTAGATTCTTTCTCCTCAGGTGCAACACCTTCATTTGTCTTGTTACACTGCATCCTATTCTGATCTGCCCACTTCCCCAGTCTGTTCAGATCAGCCTGGATTCACTTCCTGCCTTTCAGTGTGTTTTCTAAACCCCATAGTTTAGTGTCATATGCAAATTTGGACAAGGTGCTTTCAACCCCTTCATCCAGATTGCTGATGAAGATATTAAACAATACTGGTCCAAGGACAGAGCCTTGGGGGACACCACTGCCCACATCCCTCCGGGGAGAAACTGACTCATCCACCACCACTCTCTGGGTGTATCCCATAAGCCAGTTTTTCATCCACTTTACTGTGAAAAAATCCACATCACAGCTACTCAGTTTGCTCATAAGAACTGGGTGTGACACTGTGTGAAAAGCCTTTTTAAAACCCAGGTAAATAATATCTACTTCCACTCCTGCATCTAAGCACTTTGTGACCTGGTCATAAAAGGAGACCAGGTTACTCAGGCAGGTATAAACCCATGCTGGTTGCCCCTTAACATTGTGTTACCCACTGGCCCCCGGCAGATGTGATTCTTTATGATTTTTTCTAAGGGTTTCCTGAGAATAGAGGTGAGGCTAACTGGCCTATAATTACCCGGGTCCTCATTCCTTCCCTTCTTGAAGATAGGGACCACATTGGTCCTTTTCCAGTTCTCTGGGACCTGTCCCAAGTGCCACGAGTGCTCAAACAGTTGCACCAATGGTTCTGCTATGTCATCGACTGATTCCTTTCATACCCTTGGTTGAAGATCATTGGGGCCTGCTGACTTAAGCCTTTCCAAGTGCCCCTTCACTAGATCAGTGCTAACTGTTGTTGGATTGGTATTACTCTCACTCCAGACTAAAGACTCACTGGGAGGTGTATTTGTAACCATGTCCAGGAAAACAGAAGCAAAGAAATTATTACAGAGCTCTGCTTTTTCCATCCTATCAGTTATGAGTTGCCCTAGTCCATTCTGTAGTGGCCCTATGTTATCCTGTGCCTTCTTCCTGCTCCCTATGTACTTAAAGAAGGACTTTTTATTGTGCTTAACATTTGTTGCCAACTTGAATTCTGTATCTGCTTTGGCCTTCCTCACTGTTTCCCTGGAAGCACAAACCAAGCAGGTACACTCCTCCTTGGTGGCTGCCCCCTGCTTCCACAGCCTATAGGCTGCTTTTTTCCTCTTAAGGCTGCCTTGGATTTCCCTGCTCAGCCAAGGAGGTTTTTGGCTCTTTTGCCTCCCTTTGCATGTAGAGGGATGGTGTCTCTGTGTGCTTGTAGGATCAGTCTCTTGTGGAACTCCCACCCTTTTTTGACTCCCATCTCACAGATGTGATTACCCTTCAGTCCCACCCTAAACAATCTCCTGAGCTCATTGTGTTGCCCTGTGGGGTCAGGCCAACTCTCAGGATCTCAATATTGCGCTGTTAGATAGGACGGCATGGTGTACAATTGTACAGGCATACACTCAAAAATCAATTTGGTGCATACACACACACTAGGCGCATACACACACTCTAGATGCATGCACCCCCACCAGGTGTGCACACACACACTACCAATTCAGGCACATAAACATCCAAAATTACCAGCCTAGGCAAATGCATACCTATCAACAATTCAAGCACATACACACACTATACAGACCAAAATAAATTAGACCAGAATCAATTACCAATACCTGCACACCCAATACACATACACAGATCACTAATTCATATATCATGCACACAGTGACATACATACCACTCACCTACACATACACGCAGATGAGTTCCTAACTTGGGTGTTGTGGTGTGTATGTATGTGCTTGGTGTACCTGGGGGAAGGTTAAGTTAAGCGAGAGAGTGTAAGTGTATGGGGTGAAAGTTGATGGGACAGGGATTACAACCAGTAGACTAGAAAGAGCTGGGCTGAGGCTTGTGGTTACTTTAGGTTACTGCTGGTGGAGACTGAGATGAAAGTTGCTAGTGCCGGGATTAGATCCGGCAGACTGGAGAGACATTGGGGTAACTTAAAGTTAATTGAAAGCATAAAGCTGGCAGAGCAAAGGAGCAATGCCAGGGAGAAGGCTGAAGGCTGGAGTTGGAGCAAGGAGGCTACAGGCGAGCCAAGAGGTATATGGGGAGAGGAAAACTGGGAGTGGGGCTGCAGGGGGGAGGCTGGAGAACACAGCAAGAGAGAGAATGAAAGAGAAGGCAGAGAGATAGGGATTGAGAAGAGGTGGCTAGAGGCAAAAAGTGGTGGGAGTGAGGCTGAGAGCCTGCAGAAAGCAACAGGGCTGAGAGCCTGCAGAAAAAGGACAGAGAGGAGGCAAAATGTGGTGGGAACAGGGCTGACAGCAAGAGGGAGAGACAGAGACTGGAATTTAAGATAGGGAAGGGTCCGGGGCTCAGTAAAACACAACTCAACTCAGGGTTACCAATGATAGTGGTTTTATTGAAAAGGGGAAATGGTGACACAATATTTCATTGGTTCCTTTGCATACATACACACATACAATGGCAGCAGGGGTCAAAAAGGCTTGGTGCAGGGGCTGAAGTCTGGGAGGTGAGAGAGAGAGTCCAAATTGGAGGAGGAAATATGCAGGTGATATTTACCTATCCCAGGCTGAAAGTGGGTCCTTGATGGCGAGTTGGGGTCTCCTTCAGCTTGGTGTTGTCCAGAGGGGGGTTGCTGGCAGGGCCTCTGGGGTGGATAGGCAGTGTGACATGGAACTGGTTTGGTCTATATGGAAATGACGTTCCCAAGAAGTCAGTCTTCACTACCCCTTTTTATGGGGTAGACTACCTATGATCTTCTATCCTACCTATGATCTCCTCGCCTGTCCAGGCAAGGTCAGTCCTATTACAGAGGGTTCCAGATGTTCTAACTGAGCATGTGCAGCCATGGCACAATGGTGGGTTGCCTCATCTTTTGTTTCTTGAATGCTGAGGGTGGTTCCAATGGCTGGGTCATTGGTCCAAGTCCCTTTCACCCCTACCCCCTTGTAATCTGACCCATAGGACTTTGATTAGCCTTTCTTCCATCCCCATCTTTATTACAGAAGATGTATAATGTTCCCTAACATATACAGCAATGCCACCTCACCTTCTTCCCCAATCTATCCTGCCTGTATAGCCTGTAGCCCTCAATGCCCACTGCCCAGTCATGGGTAGGGTCCCAGCAGGTTTCTGTTAGACTAACCAGGTCAATATCCTTGTCTGCAAGCAGGAGTGCAAGTTCCTCCTGCTTTTTTCCCATACTTCTCGCATTAGTATAGAGACACCTAAACCCCCTGATAGTTGCCCTTAGTATTCCCCTATCCTGATTCTTAGTTTCCCCCTTATACTTATCTGATCATTTCCAGTGTGCATTTTGTGGCTTGTCCTACCCAATCTCATCCTCAATTCGGCATCCCCATCCCCTGACGAAGCTAGTTTAAAGCTCTATATAGGAAGTCTGCCAACCTGTAAGAGAACAGACTCTTAGCTTTTGGAGAGAGATATAGGCCATCCCGTCCCAGCAAGGTCCTATCCTGCAAGTACAGATCATGGTCTAGAAAGCCAAACCCCACATGGTGGCACCAGCTCTGAAGCTGTGAGTTGACCTTCTCAATGCAGTTGCCATGGGGCTGTCTGCAGTCACTGACTGGGAGGACCGATGAGAAGACTACCTGTGCCCCCGAGCCTCTAAGCCTGTTTCCCAGAGCCAGGTAGTCAGCCATGACCTGTCCTGTACTACTCTGGGCCACATTAGTCATTCCAACATGGATGAGGACCATGGGGTAGTAGTCAGTGGGCCTGATTAGGTCTGGAAGCCTTGCTGTGATGTCCCAAATCCTAGCTCTGGGCAGGCAACATACCTCCCATACTGTAGGATCCGGGCAGCAGATGGCTCCCTCTATCCCTTTCAGGAGGGAGTCACCTACTATGATGACTTGACATCTTCTCCTCTGGCTTCCTGGTTGCCTCTCAGCCTGTCTGGTGGTAGCTGTGGACATGGCCTCCATTGCTGTACTTTCTCCCAGTGATGCTAGGGCATCATACCTGTTTCCCAGATGCACTGGGGGAGTTGTTCCAGTAGTGTGATGTTTAGTTATGCGACCTCTAGATCTAGAAGAGACTGTCTTCCATCCTTCTGCATTGACCACCTCATGTGATGCCTTCCCTCCAGGTGTGTGGCCCTGCAGGGAATGGAAGTACCCGTCAATCTCTTCCTCAACTGCCCTGATCCCCCACAGCCTGCTGACCAACCTGCTAACTATGTCCATGTTAATATATATATATATATTTTATGTACAAAGCCATTGCCTTATCTATGATAGAGATAAGCAGATGGTTTTGAATAAAACTAGACCAATACTTCCAAATTAATCCTATTCCAGATTCTGTTTGAGTCTTACTAGGGCGGCAACATTCATCTCACTGCAGGAAGCTGGTTAAGCTGACCAAGTCAGGGGGGTTGAAATCTCCCACTAGGTCATCATGATGGATAATAGTTTAACAAATGAGGAATAATTCATGAGAGCCAACATGCTGACTGAAAGAGTTTCCTTAATTACAATACACTGCTAATGGAACTTCAGTGTGGTATTGTTATACAGACAGAGAAGAAAAGCTGTAGTAGAAAAGATATGTAGGTTAACCAATTTCACATATCTGAGGAGACCGAAGGTGAGTAAATAAGTATCAGTACATGATAAAATTAATAAAAGTAATAAACTGAACATGTGATACGGGGACTAAAGCTATGGATTATAAATCTTCTGAAGATAAATTGAAGATATTATATTGGATCTGATGCAAATGCAAAAGCGTTTAGACTATTGCACTATAAATATAGTACTGCTATCGTATACTATGCTGAAAGGCTCTGAAATGTGCATATGCATGAAAAGTAGAAGTTGGTATAAAAGAAAATAGGATCAAAATGATATTGTTTGATGAAGAAGAAATGCAGATGTGACAAAAGCTTGATGGGCTGATAACTTGAGTTTCTGACTCCATGTAAAACATTTGTG